TTCTTATTAGCAGAGCATAGTGGGTTGTCAAACTGTCTCCTCAGAAATGCTAACCAGACGTTTAATGTTAAGTTACTGCTAGAGAATGTTGGAACTGCATATGTTGATTCAAAATGCTCATCCTAGCAGGGAAAAGCACTTATGTCCCCAGCATACATTTTTTCCTGGAATGCATGTACACACATCAGTGGTTTCTGTCTTTCTGAATCTGCAGATCCTTAACAAATTTTCAGGGAAGACGTGGAGCTCTACATAGCAGAGTAAGACTTCAACCTTGCTTGTTGAAGGCTTGCTTCTTTTAGGTACCTTTTGCAGACCTCAGAGAGCACAAAAAACCCACCATGAGAGAGGCACAGCTATCTGTATGTGAAGAGACCCTAGTATCACAGCTGAAGAGCAGAGAAAGCTGTTTTCTCACATCCAGCTGAACTCTACTTCCACTGAAACTAATGCTTGCTTTACCATTGATGCCAGTATGACAGCTGAATAGAGGCAAAAGGGCTTTTGAAAGCCCCACCTGTAAGGTAAAGCCAGAATACTTCAACTGAAAAAAATCTGAAAAGGTAAATATAGAAAGACTGAGACTACAGAGATGAAACCCCCTTAAAATTAACTAAGAACATAAAGCAAGTAAAGTAACTGGAACTTGTACAAAGAAATCACTACAGACAACACATTTTGTAGTGTATTTGGGGAAGTAGTCAGGGAACGTAGTAATTGGTGGAAGTATTGTATTAGTGAAAACCATGCTCATCTTAATGATGAGCCCATGTACCAATGCGTTTCTAATCTGCTGCAAAACTGGCTTTCTTGAAAGACATATAGCCCAGTAATTACCTCACTGCTAATCTAACTTTACTACCCTGGCAGTAAAATAACAGCATCAGTAACAACTGAAAGTCAGGTAAACTACCATGCTTTCAGTGCCGTCAGTTATTAGGGGCTACAACAAATTATCCTGGCTGTGGGCCTGGCCTTACACACTCAGGGCAACATTCAGCTGTACCATCGCTCAGTGTGAGGTTTCAAGTAAGCGTCACCCTGGCTCATTCCAGCAGTATCCAGGATGACTGAACTGTGGGTCAGTCCAGAGGGAAATCCTGGCCTCAGAAAAGTCAAAGGGAGTTTCACTACTGACTTTAATGGGATCAAGATTTCATGTAACAGGATGATAAAGGCTACAGCTTCTCTGACAGAGATACAAAATTAGTGAACACAGTAGGGCAGTGCCTCTGAATTTCAGTCAGGCATTTGATACTGTGCCTCAAAAGCCTGCTATAAATATCGACTCACTGACTAAGACAGGAACACTGCTGCACTGATTGAAAGCTGCTGGCAAATGGCAATGGATCAAGCTGGGGAGAAGTGTCTGTGACAACAGTTCTCAAACTTTCTTCTTGTATCCTAGAGGAAAGCACAGTCTGTGCCTCCATACTATCAGGAACACTGCCAAAGGACACTTCCCACCCACCAAAGCAAGGGGTGCTTTACCGTAAGAGGGAGAGATGATGCCCTTTGCGAGGCTGAGCCACACCAGGTGGGTGTTTGCACTCAGTATTGCAACTGAACCAAGACAGCCTTGGCAGCATCACTGTCTCCTACCCTGGGATCCCAGCTGGCCCCTGCTCTGAGACCCCAGCCCTGGTATGTCTGGACACGCCATGACTGGACTGACTCTGCCGCTTGTTCCAGAGATAAACTGGGAGCAGTCTGCATGCCTTTCTCTGACTGAATTCTGCCTCCATTAAGGCCCGGAGACATTCTGCTACTGACTCTAAGGGGAGCAACAGTTTCTGGCCCCTGCTGTTTCCCTCCACTCCTGCTTTGCGATTCTGCTTGCCTCCCTCTCTGGCCCACATCTTGTGGGTGCTACTGCATCTGCAAGTGTGCCACTGCCCCAGCCTTTTCCTTCCTGCCACACTCCCTGCTCCGCTCCCTAGGGTTTCTTCTGTATAATGAACAGAGAACGCTACGAAAAGAAAAATTCAGGATAAAAACTTGGCAAAGCTTGCTGGCAAAGATATCTTAGCTTGCTAAACAGACTTCCAGTGAAATGGAAGAACTCTAACGTCTACAATTACACTAATAAATAAGGACTACGCTTACTGTAATATAAAGGCTCTGATCCTCCATCATGAATGCCAACTGAACTTTTGCTTTAGACTTCAGCGAGTAGGCACAACTCAAGCACATGATGCCATGCTACAGCAAAACACCCCACTGGACCATTACTCTTGATTCTGGAGGGCAGTGCTGCATTTGTGAGACACTCAGGAGACTTGAATACTGCTTCTTCCTCCATCCTCAATCTAATGAGTGATTTAAGGCAACTCATGTGGTACCTTTATGCCCCTGTTTGTCTTCCCTATCCTTTGCATTCCATGGAGAAACTGATCTTCTTTGTAAATTAATATGAAAGGCAGGAGTGAAAAGAGCTTGTGTCAAAGCCAGGCAGACAAAAATAAGGTAATGTGATTATAAAAGCAAGTATTTAAGAAGGTAAAAACATGCATTTGAAAGGTTGTTACACAAGAAACATCCTCCATCTGCACTGGAATATCGGCCACAGAGAGTACTATGTTAACCACAGTTGCTTTGCACATCACCTTTCAGCCTCAGAGCTGAACCCATTGCATGGCCCCTGGGAACACACATTCCCTGAGAACCGGGGTTGGGTTACTGTTATGTACTGCACCGCAGCTGACTGTGGAATGAATGGTCATGCTGAGGAAAGCAAACAAGACAGCCTGCAAGGTCCTGGAGATCACTTTCAGCTATAAAAAAGCTTCTTTATTTTTATACCTTCTATTTAACTGCTAAGCCTTTTGTTTGAAAGCCACAACAGCAGAGAGCGTACTGCAGGCATAGCACAGAGACATCAAAGCAGACAGAACAGGTAGCAGCAGGACATGTCTTCCAGAGTATCATAAAAAGAAGCCTAGACAAGCTCCTGCATTTCAGCCAGGAATAGCTTCAAAAGGCCATTTTGGCACAGAGTGTAAAGTAAACTCATTTGGAAGTGGGGTAGAGGTGTGTCCCTCTAGTTGAATCAGAGACTTTCAGGGACTGCACAGACTCTCGAGGCTTTGGAAAACATAAGGTTTTTGAACATCCCAAGTTTGTTAGCATGCTTTTAGGAATGGAAATTATCCCTGTGCAGGAGATGAAAAACATGAGCTGTACTAAACCATGTTCAGAGAAAGGAGCTACAATCAGAGAAGGCAACTGAACAGGTCAGGGCTGTATAAGTGCTTAAGCAGGTGGTGCTGTCAGAACAATGAGACTTGAAGTAACGATAACCTTAGTCACAGAAGCAGAGAAACTAAGCAGGTAGCTTAACAGATGTTGGGAGGTGGATGAGACTGGCTTAAGGACCTTGGACTAAAATCTGGGCTTGATACCTGACTTTGACATTGACCTCCTGTGCCTTCTGGACAATTCATCTTGGTTGAGTTCCCTGCTCACTCAGCAAAGTCAGCAGTCTGTGGGGAGGTGGAGGAAGGGATGACACACAATTTTCTTTCCACTCCTGATAGGGAAGACTTTTTTTTTTAACTGTGTGGTTTAAGCTCCCTCCCACAACTCTTCAAGCCAAAGACACTGGAGTAATCACATCACTAGGGACAATACTTCAGATCCAAAGCAAGGAAACAGCTCCTTCCTTCACTGCAGTGAACATGGAGCAGGAAGCTCAAAAAGCCCACATCTATCATTTCATTCTTCCAAAAGCTCTCCTCCAAAGCCATGGGAAATATGGCCGTAACAAAAAGGTTCCCACATCTGCTGGCAGCTGTTGAAGGATGCCTATTCATTAGCCTATGGCAACCCAGAACCCCACAGGCATTCCAGCCCACTTCCATTTTCTAATGCCACCATCATTCAGAGACAAGAACACTGCCTTCCTCTGACATGGGAGGAAGGAATGTAGTCTGCCCTGAGCTGCTTGAATGTGCAGTTCCCTATTGAACCAAGTCAGAGTGTGCATTTATGACCATTTTCATTTCACATTTACTTACATGTGTGAAGCTTAGTGTCTGGCATGAAAAAGTGAGAAAGTGTCACCTAAACACATGAATTTTTGCTGCACTGGCTTGAAGAAAGGCTGGTAGCCTCATTAAGAATCTGCTGTTTGTTTGAGAATTTCTACTATTCTCATGGAAACAAATTCAGACCCATTTCTTCAAGGGCCCTGGGAAACAAGCAGGAGCAGTAGGGCTCTGCTGCAAGGAGTCCCATGTCGATGCAAACACCCTAACTCTTAGTACAAAAGGGCTGGAAGAAGCATGGCATTAGCGCTCTGAGAAGGCATAGTAACATCACAGAAGGTGCATGAAAAGCCCCAGCATTGACTGTTTTGCTCCCTGATGACCCCGTTCACAATTGCACAACACCCCTATGATTCTTATCATAGGCAAGGATTAGTACACATTCAGCTGTCTTCATAGTGATCTCATAGACGAAAACAGCCATTGGCCTCAATTGGCCAGAAAAATCGGTGCATTCCCACAGCAAACCTCAGCTTGGAATCACCAAAATAAACCTACACACTTTTATGATTAGAGGTCACATCTAGTGTGGGAAGAAGGATGTAAGTAGGAAAAAAATTGGATCCACCCAGCCTGCCATGCCAACATCAAACTGCTGTATCAGAGCACACATTGAACATTCCCACAGAAATTATCAGCAATGGAAGACTGACAATGCCAATGTGTTATTAAACAGTCATCATTTGGCTCAGAGTCAACATCTTGCTGAATTGAAAGGGTAAACGAATAGAGCTGTCCTCTATATTCTCAGAAGGGTATCTGTTCACATGTATTTGTCTGGAAGACAAGAGGTTTGAGTGAGACTTTTCTTTCTCTCTCTTTTTTTTTTTTTTAAATGAGGACTCAGAAATTGATGGAGCTACCACAGAGCTTCTGATGCCTTCCAGCCAAACTCTGGGCCCTGTTCCTGGACAGAATTCCCACACACCCCCTCCACCCTTTCTACACACTTACCATAATGGTGTGATGTGGGAACAGAGCACGGACAGACTTCACAAACTCCACAAAGTGCTCCGAATAGCCATTTGCCACATCCAGGCAGATGTATCTGATAGGTGGGATGGCCTCTAGAATACTTGTTAACTTGTCCAAATCAGCTTTTCCACTACCTGAGCTTGCTGCTACATGCTAGAAAGACAGGGAGAACAAAAGGGAGTAGTAGTTTGTAAAAACTGGGATAAACACACACTTCGTATGCCTTTTTCTGCACAGTCTTGGGAGGACTTGTGCTGGAAACTAGTGAAAATCATACTATATAATATGAAATAAATACCTTCCTGGGAATTTCAATGTGTTAGTTCTGTTTTGTTTAACAACTCTAAAATAAAGCAAAATTAGCATTTTATCAGCTCTTCATTCACAAGTGGATTCTCATAGGCAAATATAATCACCTCAGATGGATGAAGGCTCAGCCGTACTCATATTAACACAAACACAGAAGAAGCCCTAACTTGGTATATTCCAGGAAGGCAGAGTGGCAAAATTTGGGGCGCTGTCAGAGAGTGGAATCTGGGTCTTTAAGTTCACCAAACGCTCCCTTGATCTACAGAATCACAGAATAGTTGAGTTTCGAAGGGATGTCTGGAGATTGTGTTAGTCCAACCCCCTTGCTCGAGCAGGGTCAGCTACCATTGAAAACAAGCAGATTGCTTCCTCCTTTGTCTTCCTATGAGTTCTTTCCAATAGAAAAATAGTTTCCATAGCTGTTGGCCCACAAAACCTCTGCAGAGATCCAAGGTCACAGAGCAAGTCAGCATTTAATCACAAGGAGATCCTGCTCCAGTGATTATGAACCACAAATGAGCTAAGTGCCAAAATGTTCAGGCACAGAATATTCCTGGGACCACTTTCTACCCTACAGTGGCATATAAGCAACCCTGAGGAACCTAAGTCATAGGCTGGCTTTCAGACAATCCTGTAATCAATAGTCTTTATAATATAATTCTAAAATGTGCCACAGGTAAAGATACAATACAGCTGTATGGTATTCTTTTCTATACAGAAAAAGTTTCAAAACTGCACTGAACTCCGAGGAGGAGGGGTGACAGCCAAGCATGCTCTTATACTGCCTCTCCTGGTGTTGGGGCCTGCCAGAAGAACACAGAAGAAATCTGGGTATGAAAAAGTCGGAACTTAAGTCAATGTGTAAATTTACTAAATAGTGTTTCTCTGTAATGGCTCAGGCTGGGACCCTGTGAACAAGTGGGGCATCACAGCTAGTAGTAGCACAGTGTGAGCTCTAGTGCAAGGAGGTAAATGGAGGACACATAACGCTCTGACAACTTTCAATGCTCATCCCTGCTTAGGCCCAGCCCCTAGGCCCCTCCAGCCCGCAGGCTCCGGGTCTGCTTGCACACCTGATAGCAAAGACTCTGCCTAACACAAGGGTGTGCAGAGCCAGCTTGTGGTTGGGTTACTCAAGGCTATTCACATTTGTGGTCTTCGGCTTCTCCCTCACCAGCACTACCACAGCTCCCAACAGTAACAGAAGCATAGCAGTTAGACCTATTCCCAAGTATTTCCTTCTTCTTTGTTCAGGATACTTCTCTGTTTCCATTCCAGGCATATATAAACTTTGGGTTTTTGCATCTTAATATAAGCACTTTCACAATAGATTCACATAGCTGTTCTTTTTAAACCAGGACAAGCCACTTCCCTTGATGCATTTAAGAACAGCAAATATCTTCATTCCCCAAAACCTCACTTGACAACCGTATTCCCAAGAGACTCCAGTGTATGTGAGTTCAGAACAAAGCAATAAACCATAATAATTTACAGTACGAAAATGTACCTCAAGGCATTCTGGGTGATTGGCAGCAAACAGTTTCCATTCTTCCAGAGAGTAATGCTTGTGAATCGCAGTGAACATTGCATGCTAGCAGAAATAAGAAAACTGATATTAATGTCCAAGTTAGTCATCTTTCCCTCAGCTGCAGAATAATAAGATATCAGAAATTCCCATTTTAAGTATAGGCTCATCCTGCTTGAAAGAAACAGTAACAGTGAATAACAGACCAGGCAACTCCAAATGGCTCTTTAAAGGTAACTTGGCATACTTAGCCAACCTTTCAGGATCAGGTTTCTGATGTGTTTCATGAAGTTATGGTCAATATTTTGAATGTGCTTAAGCACTGCAAGAAATTAAGGTGAGCCTTGAGGCCTGAGGCTAATTAACTAGTGACTCCTGACTGCTGCAGCTTTATCAGTAACCCACACTTTCAAAACTGTTGTCAGCTAATATTCTTTTTCTGGAAGGGAACACAATATAGACCTCAAAAACTAAGCTCTAGAAGCTCCACCTGAAGCTGAACTACACCCAAGATGGAAGCTTCCCAGTAAGCATCTCCACTGAAACGATCTTGTATCTGGAGCCCTGTCTTTGATAACTGTATTGCTGTAAAAGCACAGCTGCTTTGCAGTGAAACCACACCTTCTTGTTCTGGATTTTTTAACTCCTGCCCCCCTGTTCTCCAACAAACATAGCTAAAAATTAACAAAGGCTGCTCACTGTCACCCAGTGGTTTCCCAATTGCTGCAGAAATGAGAATCAAGACTTACTTTTGCCATAACCACGGCCATTTCAAATGTCCCCACAGTGTCCATGTTTGCCACTATAATGGGAATTCCTGTATATGTCTGCTTGGAGTTGCGGAAGGTGAAAGTGCACGTGAGGTCGACCTGCAATGAATAGGCACACGTTCTTTTAAGTAACTGATAGCAATCTAACAAGAGCTTTGCCACTGACTTCAGATACAGTAGGTTTGGACACTGCTTCTTAATTTTCCTCACATTTCCTGTTCTTCCTCCTTTCATTCCACTATAACCTCACTTAATTTATTACCACCTCTGCCTTCCAAATAAGAAAGAAAATATAAAAGTAAAATAATGTTTTCTGTGTTAAAGAGAGTTCTTGCTGAAGAAAAAGAGAATCAAAATTTTTAAAAAAAGAAACAAGTCAGAGGGGTTGGAAAGGAAAGAAAGGACAATGAGGACTGTGGATTATTTTATACAGAAGTAACCTCAGCTGACAAATCCAAGCCGAAGTCCTAACTCCACAGAAGTCAGAACTGGAACTCCCTCTGTCTCCAGGGCATAGAGGGCTTTGTCCCGATCTTTAATGTAAATGACAATATAATAAAGCAAGCTTTTACTTTTGGCTATGGTTACCAGCACTCTTGCCATACAATATGAACAATCATACCCTGGCTTACTAAACCATGAGGCTGCTAGTTTCTAAGTTAATTTCTTACAACTGCGTCAGCCTTCACCTTCAAAGTTATTTCTTCTTCAGCATCCTCAAATGATCATGGTAACATCAGGCATTTTGTTCCTTACATTTGCAAGAGGTAATATCAAATTTAGATCAGTTCCCACTAGTCTATTTAGCATCTTGCAAAAGGGGGAAAAAAACCCTCTAAGAAATATCTTACGGCTGTAAGATATCTTACATTTCCTTACACATTAAATATCACATTTCATTTCATACACATACACATTTCATTCACATTAAATATCTTACAACTGTAAGATATTAGGTTAGCCTCTTCAGTAACAGTGAAAATGAAGGCTCTTTCATAGTTTTCATTTGTCGTGGTTTAACCTCAGTCAGCAACTAAGCCCCATGCAGCCGCTCACTCACTCCCCCACCCCCCGATGGGATGGGGGAGAGAATTGGAAGAGCACAAGTGAGAAAAGCTCCTGGGTTGAGATAAAAAGAGTTTAATAATTGAAATAAAATTATAATAATATGATAATAATAATAATAATAATACACAAAGCAAGTGATGCACAGTACAATTGCTCACCACCCGCTGACCGATGCCCAGCCAGTCCCCGAGCAGCGGCCCCCCCAGCCAGCTTTCCCCAGTTTACGTACTGAGCATGATGTCACATGGTATGGAATGTCCCTTTGGCCAGTTTGGCTGTGCCCCCTCCCAGTTTCTTGTGCACCTCCAGCCTTCTCAGTCGGTAGAGCATGAAAAACTAAAAAGTCCTTGGCTAGTGTAAGCATTACCTAGCAACAACTAAAACATCGGTGCCTTATCAACTTTGTTCTCATCCTAGATCCAAAACACAGCACTGTACCAGCTACTAGGAAGCAAATTAACTCTATCCCTGCCGAAACCAGGACACCATTACTCCTCACTTCAGCTTTAATCCAGGAACATTCAGAGACCTGAAATGAACCTGTATCCATCACCAGAAAGGAAGCAATACAAAAAATATAGGACTTTGGTTATTTATTTACAACATATTTTGAGCACTGTCATATTGCAGGCTACATTCTGATTGATTAATATGATGGGGGGTTCATTACTAATTTGTGTAAGAGAAAGAACTTGGTGCCTCAGTGACATATTGTGAAACAGGTTCTCATTTTGTATAAGCTCATAAGGGAAGGGTCACTTTGGTGAACAAGCTAAGATACAACTTAATGGTGAGACTCACTCTTCTTCCCATTTACTATCACAGAGGCCCAATTCTCCACCCATCACTGATAATATTCTTACAGGAACTTCAGCTGCAGCTAACATGAGAAAACAGTATGAAGAAGATAGGTATGAAATAAGTATGAGAATTTAATGGATTTTACTCCCTTTTAATGCAACTTATTAACTAGAATGAAGGAAAAAAAGAGTATCACACAACCACTTCTACACAGACAATAGTACCAGAACCCCTGCCTTACAGTTTTACAGAGGAAAAACATCTCTTTCAAATGAACTTAAGAAAGAAGTGGAGAAGAAGAGTATGTTTAAGAAAAGACTGAGGCAAGATGCAAAGCTATGCAGGGAACACAAGGCCATTACTCTTTCAGTGATTCTCACCTCCACTTACTGTAACTTCTCATATGTGACTTCCTTTAGCCAGCCGGCCAGATGGATCTCATGCAATTATCCACACAACTGATAATACTGTAACGGCAGGCATTTATGAGGGATAATTGCGGGGCTTCCCCTAATGAGGCTTTTGTTCTATAAGTGCAGGAGAAATGGCACACTGGGTTGGAGATGCTTATGTGGTGCCCTAGTTCTCCGAACAGCCAGTACCAGATGTCTGGAAAGGGAACATAAGAACGAGGCAAGTTTTGAAAGACTTTCCCCAGCCTACCTTCCCAGGTCCCAAGAAGCCAATGTTTAGAGACCTTCAAAGACAAAGGTCTCCTCCAATCCATTGTGCTAAATAGCCACCCATGGACAAAGAACTTGCCTTGTAATTTTTTTAACCCTTCACACCTTTAGCCTCTCCAATATCCCATAGCAATAAATTCCAAAGATTAATTATATGTTGCATAAAAACTACAACCTTTGCCTGATAATTACATTCAGTGCTTCCTACTTCTTGCTTTGTGAGAGACAATCAACAGCCACTTCTCAGTTTCACCTTTTCCATTCCACTCCTCACTTCACAGACTTCTAGCATATCCTCCACAGCTGCTTCTTCTCCATATGGAATAGTCCTAGTATATTTAGTTTTTTCCTCCTGTGGAAACCAGTCAATACTGCTGATCATCTGGGCTGCCATTCTCTGTACCTATTTTAGCATATTATGCTGTTCTTGTGAAGGGATCACCAGAACTGTGTACTCAAGATGAACATACTGAGGAGCATCACAAAGCTAACTGGTTTTCCTTACTTTCTCTAGCAGCACTTCTGACCATCTCTTTGTCTCTTTCCTGAGTGGTAACAGCTAATTTATAGCTTATTGTTCAGAAAATAACTTCTGACTCTAGGATTGCTCACCATCACTCAACAACAGTAAAAGTTCCTTTAGAAAGAAAATCATGAAATGTATTTTATAACTCCTACCTAGACCTTGAACATATTAAAGCACTAGGACATTGGCTGTTCTGTTAAAGTTCTCTTGACCTACTTGAATTTACAAATTTAAATTAATGACTAGACTTCCTACAGGACACTTGTCTGGTGAACTTAAAACGAACAGCCTGCAGAGGCAAGTCCAGCAAAGGCAAGAATAGCAGGCTACATGAGTACCAAGACCCCACAGACAGATAATGCTGCTCTTACTCCAATCATTGCTTTAACCAATTTTGACACTGGAATTCAAGCTTCAAATTTTCTGGTATCTTTTCAAAAAGAGAAAGCAATCATGGAAAATGAAGACAGTGCAAGGAATCAAAAACAAGTACCAACATAGCAGACCTACAAGAAGAGCTGCAAACACCCCAAACTGACTCTCTAAGAAGCTGACTTAATCCTAGTTACTGCATAAAAAGCAATCCTTGCACAAAATGAGGCATTCACACCAGAGAAGCAGACGCTTGCTGATATAAGCTTCAAACCAGCAGCTTGCTGGGTAACAGGCACTGTGGTATGCTGCCTCTGTTCCTCTGCCAGAACTATTTATTTATATTCTTGTTTTGAAGCAGACTGGGGCTGTCCATTTCAGATCTGGCTCTCACAGACACTGTTTATTCCTGTTGCTACAGCCTCAGTGACGGTGTCCAATTTCTTAACCTTCATCAGTTTTCACTGACCCCCCTCACGACATACACTTTTTCTCATGTGAAATGTTTTTAACAGTTCATCATAGTCACCCGTTGCAACCCTGCCATATCAGCTTGTGTTCCTCCTATCATTTTCCCTTCCCAGCAGCCCTTCTTTCCACAGCCTGCACGCAGCTAAATATACTAAACACTGCACTTGAAGGAGCCACGTGTCACTCAGTGGAGCACAGCTCCACCTGTTTGCCAGGCCAGCACAGTGAATTTTAAAGAGGGACCATAGGTCCCCAAGCAAATGGCCGGAAAGGGCCTACAGGCCTTATGAGCAGTAATTGTACACAATGAGGAGTTAACTCAGCCGGGACACCGTTCTTTGTAAATTAAAAATGACTAGCCTGAGATTACCTTTCTACTGAGAGCGCCTCTCCAATCTTACACCTTCATAATGGCAAAAAAGTTTTGCTTAGTTGTTGCCCTCAAAATCACTGGCCATAGGCCCGTAATAAACATGGCCACCCTGCTTCCCTTTCCAGTCTTGTCTTTCTACCTCACTTGATTTGTCTCAGTCTCTCTTTCTTACAACTCCACTTCCCCTGGAGAAAAGCTTAATCCTCTTTCCATCCCCCAACACAACGTAATTCCTTCATTAGTCAAACTAACTCCTTTGTTAACCTTGAGGTTACGTGAGGTAAATGAGAAGGCACCTTCAATCCTGAGGCAGCCATCTTTTTTGTAGAGGCAATCCTCATGGGATTTCCTGGGGTCTTTCCTGATCCCTGCTGAGCAATAACCTGGCTAATGGTGGCCCTGGGCCAGCAGGGACGCAGAGCCCCCAGGCAGCCTTGGCCGCGGGAGGACGGCTGGGCTCTGCCGGCGCCAGGTCATGCAGCAGCAGGAGGCAGGTCGCGGTGGTTAACATAGGCGAGGGTGAAACGCACCCCACCGCCCCAGGTTTCCACCTGATGGGCTGCCAGCCCGGGGCACCCTGTGCCGCGGGAAGCGCTCCCCAGCGTCTTCACTGGTTGTTTCTTATCACTAGTGTTTTTCAAAAAGAGCAATGCAGTTACTCGGTAACAGCACTGCCCACAACCCCCGAGGCTGAGGGCTAAGACGCCTGCCGGCCCGCACCCCCGGCTTTTGCCGGCCCAAGCTGCGGGGCGCGTAACCGGACACCCCCC